TGTAATGCTCAAGCACCAAACTTGCACAGAAAGTAATGATGAACAGACTCACTTGCAGCATTAGAACATGGTAGTCCAAGAAGTTCCTTGCAGACAGCCAAGTTAAGGCCACCTGGCCCCAACAAAGGCATCTAACACAGATTCTGCTGGCAGGCACGGTGACTTGAGAAGGGATGGGATGTGCACAGAGCACAGTGCGAGACAGAGGAAGAAACGTGGGCAAGTGATGCGAGCTGGGGAACACTGAAATACAGAAGCAATATTTGTGCTCAGTGCACAAGAGTGTAGAATGGATTCTTCTCAAAAGTTGGGCAAAACTAGCCAAGTTAATAAATTTGTGCCTGAAGAAAAACACACTCAGCTATGCAGATCTCTGGGAGAATATAGGTGGAGTGAGGTTATGTGACACTGTATCATCGAAAGATAAATGAATCCAGGCCTCCAAATGCACTATCAAGGACTGCCAACACTCAGAAGAGAAGCCTAGCTATCCTAAAAGCTAGTACTCTGCCTTGACTGTCAGTTAGGTGCCATCAGAGCATCACTGACCTGAAAAGGGGACTGGAAGACTTTGTGGTGAAAGCGCTGAGTAGGAGATGCAGATTCTTTTTCTGCCTTTCCTTACAGTTTTCCCATGCTGCCCTTGCCAAGTTAGCTTTCTGCCTTGCCTTTCCACTTACTCAGATGTCAAGTACCCCATAGCACAGTTCTGTTGTACGTGTTTGCAATATAAACTGGGAGAGCAGACTCCACCATCAGGTGGGGCCAACAGGTACAAGAAATAAAGAGCAACCACCAGTAATAAATAGTATTTAACCAGTTTCTACCTTACCACAACTGCATTGATATAAATAACCAGTGCTGATAACAGGTGATATGAAGCCACAGACTGTTCTAAAGAGAGAAGCTTTATCTGCTTAAATTAACCAAGTACACACATACACACACACACACACGACAGTTTTTCAAAAATGAGGATGCAGATGAGAGATTCAAGGACAGTTCTAACTTGCCCTCTGTCAATTTACAAGAGAATTTATTCCAGACTATTCATACATGAATATTTAGCATGGCAACAATTACATCCAATGACACCCATGAGATACATAGTACTGAAGACCCTCTCTAAGGAACATGCACATTCCTTGATGTCAATTTTTTAACTGGACTGAACACTTGAAATGTGAGCATTATGTTTCTTTATATCTTGAAGTAATATTGCCTTTAATTGTTATATTAATTTCTTATATATTGCTGCCATGTTTTATAAATGAGAGGTGTGATTGATTCACATGAGCAGAAATGGATACGTGACAGGAAGTAAAGGGGAGAGACAGTGGCTGCTGAGGCATGTTAAAATAGCCTGTGGTCAATCTTATTCTTAATGCAAAGACCTTGTTTTTATTGTAGAAAGGAAGAAGGAGGGGGAAGGGAGAGAGATTGTTAGAGGGAATCACTCAGGGCTTAAATAACTCAGACTTAAGGACATATAGAAAGAAGGTTCCTTCAAGTTCTCAAATAAGATTTAACCCCAGAACCACAAAGTAGCATACATAAATTCTATATATAGCTATGTAGAATGCTTTTCTGTGTGGATGATTTATTTTCAATACGATTTTTTTTGTTATCATGTCCTATTTATAAGCTCTTGCTGCAGAGCACATTAGACTGTTGTTTGTTTTTCTTTAAAAAGGCAATTAATATTCGTACTAAACATTTCAGACACAAATCTGACAAGGCTAACAAAATGGGAACCAGGAAATACAGAGGTCACAGCCCGTGCAGCTACAGTTATGACTCACCTTGTGCCTGCTTACTTGAGGATTTACATTGGACTGGACATCGTTCCAAAGAGTATGTCTACTTGGATCTGGGAAAATAAAAGGATGCCTTTTTTTTTTTCTTTTCTTTTCTTTTTTTTTTTTAACCACGGGATGTCCTTTCTGGAGAGAGAGTAGGATCTGTTCACATGGATGCTTGCTTCACTGCAGAATTGAATGCTACAGATCGGAGTCCTCGCATAATACATGGAATCATCTCTCAGTCTAAAGCAGTACATGCCTCACTTCCAAAAGCTTTCTAGTAACAACTAAAAGTGCCTCTCAGAGTTTCCATGACCACTTAACTTTTCTACATTATGTCATGCCAAATTTCTTTTGCCAGGATGGATTTTAGCAGCTATACTGAGACTGCTGACAGTGAAAGATAGAGCTTGGCAAGTTGGTCTTCTACTGGCATGTTATCAGTAAAAGACACTTATGATAGTTCACTGAATGCTTCCCACAAATACAGAAATCCTTATAATCCTTGTCTTAGGAAAATTAAGTTTAATAAAACTTTCTAATTAGGTTTTACAGCCTTCTGAAAATATGTTTTCGATGGAACACTGTTTTACCTAGAGACATTGCCCTGGAACTCATTCACAGGTCATGGGAGCATATCTGCAACTGTGACCTATGCAGTGCAATCCCTGAAGAAATCCACTGAAAACTCCACCTGCCATTGTAGAATTGGATTTGATAGTATAAATCTCAGCTACTGAAGGATTGTGTTCTAAGCAAAAAGTATTAAGTTGCAGCACATTATTCACTGGGTTAGAGAAGAACAAGCATTTAATAACTGCAAATTTAAAAGTAAAATTCTGTTGGATTGGAGTAAGGAGATACATCATTAAGGGATTAGATACTACTGAACAGAGTAACGCAACAGGCTCAAGAAATGAAACCAAGATTTTGACTCATTACTAGCCCCTTAAAAAGCAATGGCACTGCCTCTCTGAAATTGATTCAGTCCCTGTCCCTTCCACCTCTCAAACACTGTGGGGAATGTCAGATATTTGCATCTTTACAGTGGTTCCTAAAGCTGCCAATTTAGTAGAAAATCTTTCCCCCATTCAACTGATCACAAAATCAGGGCACCAATGTATTCATCCAATGTATTCAGTGAAAGTTTCCTCATGCTTTGTTCTTGTTTTCCTACTAACAGAGTAGATGTTGACTGCTCATTCCAAGAGGATTGTTTCTTAGCTCTCTGCAAGCAGAGGTTTCATCTGTGATGGGCATTTGAATTTGTGAATGTTTCCAGAAGAAACTTATCATTTATAGAGTTTATCCTAGGTAACTTGTAAGCAAGCATGAATATCTCAGGATTAGACTTCTATCCAAACTCTAGTATAGGACTTTTCGGAAGCCTTCCAGCACATAAATCTTAAATCTATAAAGAAATATTGTACCAATGAAGTCATAACTTAAGACAGGTTATCATATTATGAAGTCACTATATCAAAGACATAAGTCATTGTATCTTGAAGTCATAGCTTAAGACAAAGGAATGGCTGATGTTGATATGGACCATCATTAGCACCACCTATCAGCACCATCTCAGTAAGGCTCATACTACTTTGGTGATAGGATCAGGCATAGAAAAGGACACAAACTGTAGGGAATTACAACCTGACTACAAATTTTACAGTTCCGATCACTATGACTAAACTCCTGTTTAATTTGTGACTTCTCAGCAGTAATTCAACATAAGTAAAACTATAAACTGCAGTTGGAATGTGTAGATTTTCCTCTAGGTTGAACAAGATTCTCCCAGGAAAGAGCCTATAAAGGCTTGCAGCATTTTTCAAAGTGTTGTGTAGATCAACCATAAGTACTGTGGCTGGTTATATAATGAGAAAAAGTTTTCAGGGAGTAGGATAGAGTACCATGAGCCTGACCAAAGCCTTCTAACATTAACAGATGAGCAGATGTTAAGGCCATTGTCCTTCAAGCTGCTGCTCCTGGCTCTGAGCAGACAATGAAGGAGGACAGACCATTCCAGAAGGTAATCAATCACTTGCTATCCGAACCACCCTCTAGAACTGTGTATATGTCTCTACTTGGTTGCTTCAGATCCTTCAGTATTAGGCTCTCAACATATGTAGCACAGAGAGGTGTATACTTAAAGGCAAGCTCAAGACTTTGTGCCTTAGGGAGGGAGTACAAGCAAGTGAGATTTATTTGAACTGCCAGGCCTTTTGTATTCTGTCACTGTATTGGCAGAATTTTCATCTGGGCAATCTTAAATTTAAGTGAACTAAAGTAGGACTAGGTAACTGAGTTACAATTTAAGAAAGTTTACCAACATGAAAAAAATGTATATATAAGTGTGTATGTGTGTGTGTGTGTGTGTATATATGTGTGTGTGCACTATTATTGCATACAGAAGCTGTCTGATTTTGCTGCATAACCCTGACCCTGTGACACTATTTTTAGTTTTTATCTCTCCATTTAACATTTCCTTCCCTTGTGGAATGTTATCACTCTTGACTCATCACCCTCAGCAACAGCTCACTCTGTTCAGTACAATTCCTGATCCTGTACTCTTTCCACTGCTTTTCTTTCTTACTAGAATTTCTTTTTTTCCAATCCTGAGTAAACTGACAATAACCTGCACTATTCTGGATAAATAATTAAGTCCATGGTCTTAAAAATATTATAAACAGTTCTTAATCTCTTCATGTATTACTATAAATAAATGGAGATTATCTTACGTTAACTTTTGGAGATGGAGTCTGAGAAGAAAATGTGTTGTGATGACAATCATCTTTCTCAGTCATGCTCAAAATACTGATTTCCTTGACTAGAAGCTGTAAGGCACAGATTTAGATCCTGTTGAATTCAAGTAGAGTATGGAGGAATGACTGAGGGAACCACTTAGTGCAATGTCTTTAGATAAAAGTGACTCATCCCAGGTCACCTTCCAAGCATCAACTCTGATCCTACAACCACTTAGGCATGCTCCTTGATTTGCACAGAGGCTCACTGAAGGCCTAATTTTGTTTGAAGACTTCTCCTATGCAGTGTTCTTTGTAAGATTGGAGTGACTGTGAAGCCCAGCATCTCCTATTCTCTCTCTGCTTCAAAACTTGTTGGATTTATGTTATCAGATAGCTAACAACTTCTCAAATATAGATGTTGGAATTCCAACTATATGCTGATTTTAGATTAGGAAAATTTCTATTTTAAAATTTCCACTTTTATTCAGTACTCTCAAAAAAATAGTATTTTTGGGATTCAAGGAAAGGCTCAGCAAGTTACACAGTCTAGTTAAGTTCTAAGGCTTAAAAACATCCCCAAGAATGCAAAGATTTACATCCAAATGTATTTTGTTTAAATCCAGTATAATAACAAGAATAGTTACTTCAAGAAGCACATCTGCCTTTTTTTCCTCCTCATTCAAAGAAGGAGCATCATATAGAAGTCTTTCTTCCATAAACTAATCCAGACACATCCAAACAGCTGAAAAGAACAATCCCATTAAAACAAGAGAATCAGAAAGGAAAGGAGGACTGTTCACCTTCGCCTCATCTCTGTTTGAAAGTCCTTGCATTCACACAAAAGGCCCCTTTGTCTTCCACCTCACTTACTGGCAGATCTGCATCTCCAGTCATTCCAGTCCAGCACTGGGCTGGCTTCACCCCTAGCATGAACATCCCATCCAACTTCTAGAACTGGCCACATTCTCTCTTATCACAGTATTTGAAAAGAAACACCCCACTCCCCAGTAAAACAAACACCAAAATGCACTGTGCCCTATGCTTTTAGGTGGATATGTTGAGGTTTGCTGATGAATTTTCCAGCATTTTCCCACTGTGGAAAGAAACACAACTGTAAGAGAACAGGAGGTATTGACCAGTTTATGCTGAAACGTGTGATTCATGCAGTTAATGTTCTTCCAGAAGCCTGTGGAATCACATGTGCAGTGATTAAGTAGAGCCGTGCTGTGAGGGGCTGGCATTGTAATTTATGGCCTTTCTAGCTATGATTTTCTATCATGGCTTCAGCAATGATTTCTTTGCATCTTTAATTCCAGATTAATCTCTATGGCTGAAAAAGGCTGGTGAAAATTAAAAACTGGCACACTGGTAGACAGCCTCATAGAAGCCCAGAGGCTGGAAAGCAAAGTATAAAGGCAGCTATGTGATAGGACCAGCTTGGGGTTGCAGGGATAGGGTTGAGTGTACAACTGCAGACATTAGCTCTCTAAATGGAAGTCATTTCTACTAATAGAGCTCTCCTGATTGTAAGGGAGCTTGGAGACCTCGCCAGGCCAACTTTTCCTTCAAGTCTTTGCCTTTTTTCCTATCTCACTGTAAACAGTTCATGGCAGCTGTTAAGCTCCATGTTCTGCCACATCCCAGTGTCCTAGATCTCTGCCCAAGTCTTAGTACCTGTTAAGTTCTTTGCTTTCATCTTCCGTGCTCAAAGTTTTCCCTCGCTTCTTCCTTTCTCTACCATCAGTTTTACTCCCATCTCAGATCAGTGTAGGGAAGCGGAGGAGAGAAAGGAGTGCCATCATTGTAGAGAATTCAGCAGAAATTCTGCATTTCTAGTCACTTTTAGTCTTGGCCTAGAGATCTTCCATGGTCAAGCTCCTAGGAGGCAGGGACACTCTTTGTTCCCACCATGTCACTCCTCTGATGTTCTCTCTCTGATCCTATACTTGAGTTTTCACTTCTGTAGTCCAAGACCAAAGTTATTCTATTTGGCTTTATACTCAGTCTTGAATAACAGGAGTCCCTGAGCATAGTGAAGCTTCAGGAAATACATTTTGGCTTCCAAGCCCTAGATAATACCCTTACCACTGTCCTTTCACACCACCAGGGCTGCTGACAAAGTGGGCATTAGCAAACATTGCTTTCAAAATCCCATGAAGAGCTCAGTTCCCACTGGATTATCCTCAGCGGGTGTCCAGGCATTGGAGATTGCAAAACACAGCTCCAATTGTTTGGAGCCTCTGCTCAGGCTAGAAAAATTTCTGAGCCCCTCAAAGACCCCAGTGACTAATACTGCAAAAATCATAGCAAAAACATGACATTAAAATGTGTGCTGCACATACTTTTGAAATATTGTCCAGCACTAGATCAATGTAAATACATTTTCTTCCTATTAAACTTACTGGGAAAAAAAACACATCCTTTTAATGGAGCTATGATGATTTACACTAACTGATGTTCTGTCCCTTTATGTTGTTCCATTCTTATTTTCTGAACAGCAGGGAAAATTTCACTATTATAAAAAAACCACAGACGCTGTTATTAATTTCCTGTAACTTTTGGAAGCTAGCAGTTATGTTTGCTTCTCTTTTGCTCTCTCACTCTCCCCCAAGAACAATCAGAATAATAGAAAAATATACAATGTTGTTATGATTACATCTTTTTTCTTGCCTTGGTCTAATTTTTCATACACTTTTGTTTATACCTTTCTGGAAGTAGGAATTCTTCTTTGAGCAAGAATCCTTACAAAGAGAAATTATAGTCATCTTATACCTAATGCATCACTGAAGAAGAAAGAGGATTTATTATCCTTCAAGTATCTTTTCACAAAGAATTTATCCCAGCAGGTGGACTCAATCTGTGTGGGGTAGGTAAGCGTAAAATTTGATCCACAGATTTTAGAGCTACTGTAAAATAGCCACTTATGTTGGTACCTTTACTAATAAGTGTTTCGATTGGCAATGAAAGAGATTAAATTGAAGTTCCTCTACTACTGATGAAGTATGCTTTGGCAAATGAGGGTAAAAACTATTCTGTGACTGGAAATAAGGCTTATTTCCTTATAGAACATTGTAGTACATTTTTAAAAAAATGTTCTTTTTTCTGTGTCATGCTCCATCCTTTCATCTTACTTTTTCTTCCTCTTAAATTCTGCACTACCCTGATTTGCACACACACTCCATTAGCTTCACATTTTTTAGATTACTATGAGCAGAAACAGCTTAGATCTTTGCAATACTAGTCAAGGATAACATTCATACTCTTGACAAGAGACTCTCTCAGCTCTAATCTACTTCAATTCTAATTGCTGAATTATTAAAGCCAGAGCCCTCTTGTGCTCTGTCAGTACCTACCTTGCTGCTGAAGCATCAACACTGATGGTAGAATGGCTGCCAGCTGTGAGCTTATGGTGTGCCTATGTGGGAACCAATGGAGAAGGATCAGCCTTTCCCCTTCATCCATGAGGAGATTCCTTTTAAATGTTAATTGTTTCTAGAGGAAAAAAAAATGGCCTTTCTAACACTGCCTTCATTATGAATGTTGAACACTTACAGAATATCCATGCTGCTCTTCAACCACCAACAACAACTCACGTGGAAAGCTAAGCTTTTCCCTCACCTAAACTCTTAAATAGCCTCCTCACTGATCTGAGCATGCCTGACAATAAATGTGACCACCTGAGGATATATTCAGACTTTCTCCTATCCAAGTAATGATCAGGGTGAGCAGAGATATGCTGAATTAAAGCACAGCTGGAAAGGAAGGGAAAGGACAGAGGTGATGCGATGTGAGTGTGTGCCACACTTGGCTATCTGGATAATGACTATTACAAGAGCTTAGGGTGTAGAGTGTTTCTTGGCGGTGTTATCTTCAATTTGCAACTGGCATAAACCAACAGAGTTCAGGGAGTATAATTTGTTTGTGTGATGTCCAATATTCAGCCCCTTCTGGACCCATTCATGGTAGCTACAACAGCAGTGAAAGTTTTGATAACTCATTAACTGCGAGCATGGAAATGAACTTATGCCATGGAGACAGACCAGAAGCCACAAGAATATTCACTCCACTCTGCTGACTTTCTCAGCATCAACCAAAGTTACCATGATCCTTGCCATGAGCCAATGTTGTGACTGCAAAGTCTGCTCTGATCTGCTTGTTTTTATACTTACTTGCTTTTGAAATGAAGAAAAAAAAGAAAAGGTTTCTGCTGTCTTCAGCACCAGAAAATACTTATTTTTTTACAAAACCTATAATTTGAGTCTAATTTGACCTGACAGAGTCAACTGACCATGCAGTTACTTGGCACCTGCTGAATGCCTCCCCATTAAGCCAAGCCTACGTTAATAAGCAGCAGTCATTACTGTTCACTGTCATAAAATTAAATCAGTTACCTGACCTGAGATTCTTCCCAGTAAAAATAAATCCTGATAAGATACATTCCAATTGAGAGCCAAATTCTTCTTTTGTATCCATTCTCATTGCTCCTGTCTTTAAGGTCCATCCATGTACCAGGCAGGTTATCCATGTGCCTTTTGCACTTCTTCACACTGCCTCTCATATTCTGGATCCTCAGGAGAAGGAAGCATCCGGCTGTTTGCTGCTCACACACACGAACAGCAAATTGCAATGGCTGCTGGCCACCTCATCTGTGCTGCAGTGTTTACCGGGGAACGGACCTCTGGCTTTATTTTTTCCATGCTCTCCATGTATAGGAGTAATATGGAATCAGTTGCAAAGCTGCTTGAAGCATTCATTTTCCATTTTGTGTGTTTTTAATTTGTTTTTATTTGAAATGAGATATTTTGATTATTTTTATGTTTCTAAAAATTCTGATTAGAATATTGTAAGATTTCATTTTTAGATTGTTTTTGTATTACTTTCAGACATGCCAGTAGTAGCAACACATAGTGTGAATTATACCCTTCAAAGCTATGTTATGCTGTATTTTGTCACGACACTGTTAAAATGGTAACATTATTTATTTTATGGTTTATAGGTTTTAGCTTACTGTAAAAATAATTAAGCTTAGCCATGACATGGTACAATTTGAAATATTGTATTTTTCAGATGAGTATGTGCCTTTGTTGTGCAGTAATGAAATCTGCTTTTATTTTGTTTTGAATGTGTCTCCTGTTTGCTCTGAAACTAAATAAGTTGGCACTTTCAACAAGCAAATAAGCTAATGTCATACTTTTGTTTCAATACAAAGTAGAGGCATTTTGGTATAGAAAGCAAATATTTAAAAATGTATTATGTAGTGTCTGCCTCAATTAAAAAAATAATAAAAAATAACAAATCATAACATAAAGTACTATAATATTACTGCTATTGCTAAGTTAATGTTATATCAGAAGCAGCATGGAACTTAACATAGTGACGTTAGTTTGAATTTTTCACAAACATGAAGTTCCATGAGAGGAAACCATGGTTTTTCCAGGAAACCAAACAGTTCAAAATGATGTGTTAAGCCTTTCCCAGTGACCAAATTAGTGCACAAGATGATGGTAATCCTACAAATAAATTGAGGCAGCACTTTTGCATACACAAGTTTTGATCTTTTCAAAATTAGCAATAGTAATATCTGGCTCCCAGACAGACAGCACATTTCTTCACGTCTCTGAATGCTTTACAATGGAGATCAGTATCCATCTCACAGCTTTATAGACAGGGAAAAAGAGGCACCAGAAGGCAAGTGGACGTGCCCCAGTTCACCCTTGAAGCTGACAACAGAGGTGGGAAAAACAAATCAAGTCTCTTTGGTGCTGAATTTCCCACCTTCTCAAATAAACCTAATGACCTCATCGTCATTTGTGATGAATAACCCATTTATTGTAAAAAATGCACGGAGCATCACAACAACACATATCTGTCATTTTCATCTGTAGTGGATTCCTCTTAGGCTGTCATCAAGTGTCCTTTGAAAATGTCCCTTTTTTACCCAAATGTGTACCCAGGGTTAAAATTCTTTGTATGCAGATGCTTATTTTTAGATATCATCTCCATTGGTTGTTAGTGAATGCTTAACTTTCACAGAGGGTCAGAAAAGGTCATCAGTATAGAACAGCTTTGTATAAACTAACAACTCCGCCTGGGTCTCTTACTTAAGGGGAATAATGTACTGCATGAAAAAAAATATTCTCAATGTGTTCTACTGCAAAAAGAGATGACAAATATATTCTCACTCAAGACTGCAGCATGCCATACAATTTTTTTTTTTTTTTTTTTTTTAATATTCTGAATGACATACACCCATAGACCCATCAGATAATTTACACAGTGTGTACAGGGGGTGATAATGATCTTACATCGTCAGACAAAAAAAAAAAAGCTTTGTTAAAGCAAAGATAACCCACGAATAAATCACAAATAAACCTAAAAAAAAAAGAAAGAAAGGAAGAAAATAAAAAACAAACATTGGTGAGCATGGAAATTCCATGCTAATGTTGAATTCAAATTTTTAAATGACGGAGGTCAGGAAGTTCATCCTTCATATTCATATTCATATTCTGCAATCAACCACAATGGAGACACTCTCTACTACAGACCTCTACTAGGGTCTGCAGTGATAGGAATAGGAGTAATGTTTATAAACTAGATATAAATTAGGAAGAAATGCTTCACTCAGAGGGCAGTGAGGCAATGGCACAAGCCAGCCAGAGAAGCCATGGGTGCCCCATTCCCGGAGGCGTTCAAGGAGAGGATGGATGGGACCCTGGGCAGCCTGATCTGGTGGGTGGTGTCTCCATGCACTGCAGGGTG